TAAAAAAAAAACAATAAATTATTTCTTTACTTTATAATTAAATATTTCTGAAACAGAAAAATCAATAGATCAAAGGAAGAGGTATTTTACATAAATCCAGTATATAAGTGTTTGAAATTTATTAACCACGTGACCTGATATATATTCAATTTATAATATTTTATAAATTAGTCTAGTTGATGTGTCCATGTCTATATGTTAATATCTATATGAATATATAAAGAATAAATACACACACTCACGTGTATGTCTGTGTGTGTGTGTATATACATAAAGCATCTTCAATGTATTCAATGCCTGTTAGTTGTTAATTATAAAAAAGAAAATGAAGATGTGGTTGTAAAAACTGGTACAAAAATGTACCACAATCTAGAATTTATAAAAGTGTTGAAGAAATAATTCTGAATGTATACAACTTTCAGGCACTGATATGATCCGCTCTGTACATTCTCTGTGATAACTTTATGTAATTTATAAAAAATATAAGACGGATGTGCTGAAACTTATTTGTTTTACAAAATAAAAATAGTATACGTCAAAAGTATCTTATATTTTGTATCTGTTAATCTTCTTTTGTAAGTCGGAGATTTTACTAATTATTAGAGATGACCAAAGCAATCATCAATTGAAAAAAAATATATGTATATTTATTATACATATATTATACATACATATATACATATATAATTGTAATATAAATGGCAGATAACTTATTAATATGAACTAGCGATTTACAGTTACAAGTCCAGCAGGGCCCAATCCTAATTTTGAACTTACTGATTTTATTTTTAGAGGCTGAAAACCAAGCTCGCTTTTTGGAATACCGTACTCTTGTAATTTTGCTTCATATGTTCTCAGTAAATCATCGTGTGCTTTACAAACTTTCGCTAATTCATACTGTAGATCTTGTATCGCGGTGTTCTTTCTAGTCAGTATGTTCTGTAAACAAAAAAATGCGTCATGCTTACTGTAAAAATAAAAACAGGTAATTAATATACAAACCTCTAATTTCTTGTTAGCGTTAAGAACAGCTGTTGGATCTAATTGGGCAGCAGCAAGTACCTCACTGATCTGAGCCTCTCGTTGTTCTAATAAATCTGATAATTTTTCAAGTTTCCTTTCTAAAAGTACATTTTTTAGGCCTGTTTTCTGTTGAAGTTCAAGTATAGCTGAGACAAACCTCGAGTGTAATTCGTCTCTTTCGGACTGACACTAATGAATAAAGCGTATTTTAATCAATGCGAAAACAATTTTTATCGGATGAAAAACAATTTTATACTTTCTCAAAACGTAATTCCAATATTTCATTTTCCCATTTCAAATTTTCAAAATCTTTCTGAACAATTGCCAGTCTTTTTTTGGTACTCTGAAATGTTGAGTAATACAATATAAAATTAACATTAATATAAAATTATTAAGAATACTAACAGTTAATGCTTGTTTATCTTTCTCATAATTTTGAAGTTGATGAGTAAATTGCGCTACAGATTCTTCAAGAGTTTTTAAATCTGTGGAATACTTTTTATTCTCTGCAGTCAGTTCTCGTACTTGTTTCTTCATCCTTTCTTCATTATTTCTCATTACTTCCATTTGTTCCTACAATATTGGTAGTAAAATAATGTCAGTAGTTTTATGTTTCGCATTGATCATACCTTCATGCTCTTAATCAAAGATAAATTGTTAAGGGTAATATCGTTGTAATAAGTTTTCATTTCTGAAAATGCTGTCTCATGATTTTTTATTAGATTACTAATTTGTGTGTTCTTCCTCTCTTCAACTTCAGTTATTTCCATACGATGTTTCAAGCTGAGAGACTCATATTGGTTTACCAACTTTTGTTCATACTTTTGTTCCATTTCTGTGGCTTCAGTTTGGAACTGTTTCGTTATTTTATCTATTTCCTCTGCATTTTGCTAAGTAATGAAAGTCAATTCCTATAAATTTATTCGATAACATAAAAATATTCTTTCAAATGTTCTCATACCAATTTTAATGCACGTATTTCATTCAGATGTGCTAACTCTCGTTCTTTCATTATCTTTTTTAAATCCTTTTTGTCTTTGTACAATTCATTTTCTTGATCTACATGATCGTCTTGTGCTAATTTTAAAGCAACCATGTGCTCAGCTTTAGTTTCTGACAGATTAGTCTGATGTTCATACATTAAATGTTTCACTTTTTGCTTGTATAATTTCAGTTCCGCTTCATGATTTTCTGTTACTTCTTCTTTCTCACGTTCTTTATTTCTTCATGGATAATAGGTATCAGTGGAATATAGAATATAATATTCGAGTTAAACGAATTATGAATGTACCTGACAGAAGCACGAGCTTCTTCCAATTGATGCCTTGTAATTTCCCAAAAAGTGCGAAGTTTATCCCTTTCAAGCTGGAAATAATTTCTTTCTTCCCTTTCACGCTCTAATTCTTCAAGTATCTTATGAACGTACACTTCTAATTGTTCCCTATTCATTTTTGTTGTATCTGCCCCATCAACGGTATCAGGTGTCTTTGCTTTTTTCGGCCCCTATGAAATATTTGTAGAAAATATTTAATATAATATTTAATTACACGGTTTTATTAGGTAAAATTACAATTAACGATTAAAAACTTACCATTTTGGATAAAAAAGATTTTTGTCGGGAAATGAAATATAAATTATAGATTTCAAACTATAAATAACGCCTTAACAAACTAAATTGTAAATAAACACGATAATATTAATTGTCATAAAACTTTTACAGTGGTATTGACAGTTATGAAAAAGATGAAAACATCACTACTTGACTTCCAAGTACTTATATTATATGTTTTGCTTGAATAGTCGCTAAGCAACCAAAATTTATGACTCATAAAATCTCAAAGAGAATACCCAGACATGTAAAATAATAATACTCTGTTTTTTATGAACTAGATCACTTTATTCAAAGACATATGTATAAAATATGTAAAGAGAAGTCAAGAAATGCATCCAAACTTGGTAATACATTTAAAAATATCGTTAGTTTTACAATAACAATTTAAGCCTTCTAATATCTCCTGCCAAGTATTGAATTTTTTATTAATATAAGAGAGCTACATTTGTTTCTGTTTCACAAAAGGAAACGTACTAACAAATTTAGTTTCGTTATATTTTAAAATTTATACAAATATCAATTATAACGTCGAACATATCGTAAAATACCTTTAGCAAAAACATGTTTTATAGTGCTGTAATACAAATATTCGCGTGATATTTTCAATTCTATTGTTTTATCGCGTTGTAAATTATTCTATAAAAAATGCCTAACAATATGTTTCTACATCTTGAGGTACCTGATTCATATGTCAAAATTCCGTAATAATAAATATCTCGTACAGTACCCCTTACAGTATTCTTTAGACAGCAAAGAATGCATATAAATTACTTCTAGATGTGGCCACTGACCATTACATGTACTTTCTATCATTTCTAACATTTCTTACAACATAATGTTAATCGTACCTATTATCTTAACAGACATTAAAAAAATGTTAATAACATTAATAATGACAATAATAACAGGATTTAAGTAGATACTTTTCAAATTATTGCTTGCTCTTTTAGAAGTTACGAATGATAAAAACATTTATAAAAATGATAAATTTCATGGCTTGTATGTATGATTTGAAGAATGTATTTATAAAATAAAAGTCTGGAAAGTAAAATATGAGGTAGACCTACGTTACTCATACGAAGAATGTTCAGTTGAGTTTTATGCGTTTGACATTTGGTCCATTGTAATTTCTTATGTAAACTCGTGCAAGGTTTGTGCCCACATTAGGTTCCTTTACGATAATCATATAATACGTTTCGAAATAATAACTTATTAAACTGTGCTTACATATAAAAATCGTAATAAATATAAAGATAATACGATCCTGACCTCAGGTTTCCGCTTTTGTTAAAATTTCATGTAGCATTATACTTGCATATACAACATATACAATCGTCCTCAAAAAATTAAATATTATATAACAAAAATAAATAGCTATATTAAACAATTGGATAACCACTTTAAAAAGATTCATTTAAACTGGAGTATCAAATGGAATGCTATATATTATGCAATTTTCTATAACTTTAACTGGTTTCACCATTGAATTGGAGCAGACATCCTACTGCACCGAAGTAACCCTGTAATTAAAGAAAGAAAACAATAGTTTAACATCATTTTCATCAATTATTTAAAAAATTATTTTAATATATTTTACCTCGTGTTCTAAGAACAAAGCTTTCATTGTTCCTTTGGACCAATAATCCATTGCATAGGCCAGAAGTTTCATTGATATACGATTTACCCTAAGAAAATTACCCGCAAATACTACCTAAAATTTTCGAGGAAAATAGTTATTACATCGGAACAAACAACCTTATATAAAATAGCCACAAGAATTGTATATTACCCTTTCAATTTTTTCGTTCACAGCGCACATACGTGCGATAGAACCAATATTGTTAGTAATGGTAACAAGCGTTGCGTGCGCAAGATCTTCTTTTCTAACTTCATTACGACGTTCCTTAGAATTCATTTGACCAAAACTACACAGATGATCAAAATATGCAAGAAAATGTCTTAAATAAAAAATTTGTTATACAACTGAAAAGTAAAGGTACGACGTATTATCTGATTAAAAACAATACCTGCTTGCAACAAGATCTCCAGGAAGACCAAACGGTCCATAGTCTCCACCATAAATATCTTTAACTAATTTGTCCACTCTGGTATTATCACCTCCAGTTGCTAATTCTATTGCCTCTTCAAAAGTGTTGCATCCAGTTAATAAACAACATAATCCTAAAAATGTACCACCACCTAGACTAAATGTGAAACAAATGAATCAATATCAAAATTTCTTTGTACATCTTCTTCAGCTAACAATACTTAAGAAATAACATACCTGGTGCCAGAAATTCTTTTATAATTATCCGGCCCATAAACTGCTAATATGCTTACTCCTGACCCTATATTTACAAGCTAAAACATAAAATTATGAAATATAAAGTACACATTTAAAGATGCATAGAAGACACTTTTAAAAATGAACATACCAAGAATGGATAGGGTTCAGAAAAGTCGTAAGGAACTTTCTGACATTTACTATCATCCGTAGGATGAGACCAGTAATAACATTCACGTGGATTTGTTGTCTCTATGTAAAGCATACCACGTATTAAACTATCTAACTCGTCAAATTTTGCTAAATTCATATTTACTTCCTGTAAAGAAATTTATTTGATATACTTATATTTTTAAAATGTCAGAACATAATTTTTAAAAAATGAAGTCTCACTTGTTCAAAATTCTTTTCAAATTTAAATGCTCCACCGCCAGTAGCACAAACTGTTGTTACAAGACTAGCCATACCCTTGGACCTTGCTAGTGCTAAAAAGTTTCCCATTTCGCTTGTAGGAAATCTGATAAAATGCAATGTACCATGTCTGCCTCTTATACAAACATTGTCCATCTATAATACAAATAATGTAATATTTATATACATATACTTTTCTAAGTATTCAAAAAGCTTAATTATTTTGGAACCACACCTGTAAATGCGTATCTCTGTGACCTGTTTTCCCATACGCTGAATTTTTAACTAAATACCGCCTAATATTTTTTAAAACTTCTACCTCTGCATCAGCTTCATCCCTTGTAATATCTTTTGGCTCAAAGTATACCAGTTTGCATAATGTACCACCTATATCCATACCAAACCATGGCATTGCTGAACAAAGAAACAAGAAAATATTATGTGCTCTAGTAGATAAAAAGATTGTGTATATATATATATATTCATTAAGAACACTCTGATGCTTTGTCAAATAAAATATAGCTCTTACAAACATTGAAAGCAAATTATACGATATTTAATAAATACTTTACAAACAATCAAAGTGTGATAACATTTGTTACAACATATATAAAAACTAGTTTGCGGTGAATCGATATCAAAAATATAACTATTACATAAACAATAAGGGAATGCAAGCAACAAATGTATGGTTAACATTTAAGAACATTAATATTACTATATAAATGAACATAAAGAAATAAAATAAAAGTGGCTACTCTAAGCACACATACAGTTGAATAACTCACAAGGTGATGAATGGTTTTTGGACTCTTTGGTTGATGCCTCAGAATGAGCGAAACCATTGGATGCCATAACTTTCGAAGTTATATGATTCTTATAACTTTGAGGACTCATTGCTAAACTAAAAATTATTTACAAATACTTCCAATGTGTACTGCACAATTTATTGCCTGCAAAGAAAAAAAGTAATAATTACTGAGAAAGAAAATATTCATTTGATGATAAATAGATTTCAACTGATGATTATATAAGAACTATATTTTAAAAATATTTCTCCACTAAGCGTATAAGTATATTCACAATTGTAGCACGTGACAAAGGTTACTCTTTAATTATGCATACCATGATTGAAAAACACGAATATGTTATACTCCGTTGAGAACTTTACACTGACAATATATTTCAGTAAATAATACTATGTCAGCAAGTAACAATTTCAGTTAAACAAAATATATCCTTCCTAATGATGAATCAAAATCAAATGGAAATAGAGAGTAGTTTACTCTGTTCATAATAAAATAACTACAATGTTAATAATATATTCAAATTATTATGTATTATTTATATTACTCTAATCATTTATATACAATAGTACAAGTTTAATTAATTATCGTATTGAACACGTAAATTGCATTTTATAATTATTATAAAAAACAATCAATTAAGAAAAATAAAGAAAACCATAAAGTTTTAATGTAAAATCAAGGGAATGCGTGACACCACGGTCCTGTTACAAAAATGAAATTGTTGATTTACAGTTTAACACATGCATGTTCATGTGCGATGAATGAAAAATTACTTGTATCATAAATTTTTCAAATAAAATGACAACTGTACGTCAATAATAAAGAAACGAAATACTGTCACATTACCCTAATTATATAAAAATTTACTGCAACATTGATCAGCGTTGCAAAATTCAAGAGCTTTAGAATCTCCCAATATTACTTACGAAGTAACGCCATCGATGCTTATGATGGATCCGTATAAAGCGTACAAACGTGAATGAATACACATAAGTTTGTTCACTATACTATTGTGCGATCACGCGATTGACGTGTGTTTTTCGGAATTTTCGTTAATGAAAAGAAAAAAGATGCTTGTTAACACCGAATAGAGGTGTCGTCTACTATTGGTTGATATAAAACACGAGAGAGGACAAAATACAGCCCACTTTCCATGGCAGCCAACAATACAAAAACAAAGCGTTTGACAATGTAATAACTGTATCGTACAAATGAGTAGATATTTAAGTAGGTACGGCACAAGCTACTATGAAAGAGATAAAACACAAAGTTTCTCACCTGGAAGTATCATTTCAAGCATGTAATATTTGCATAGATCAGGACTTATCAGAATCACGCTAAAAAAACTGATTAATTGTGACTACTAAGCACTCTTTTCTTCTTGCTGATCCGCTGACATTAACACTTCAGCCTAAACTAAGTTTCTTGTAGCTCCGGCAAAAACAGTCACTTTGTTAAATTCTTTAATTGAATGTAACAATACATCGAAACAGATATTACAGTCACTCGCTTATCTACGTTTGCAATGTCGTATGATATCTACTATCCAAATACTATCTCGAGAATACATTCCGTAAAAATTAACCGATACGATACTCCTTCTCCTTTCATTCTTATTTGTCTTTTAAATTCTTGGAATCATGTTGATGGTAATCGCGTGGTTACGAAAACTTTGATCTATGTTAATTTTGTTGTATTAATACGAGGTTCTTGACGTCATGAATATATGTTTCTATAATTTTCATCGCATATATATGAACAAGCAAAATGATCAGACGATATTAGAACCATAAGATGCCTACTTGCAATGGTTCCAAGAAATTTAAAATTATATTTCTATGATATTCGGATAATAATACTTCTACGTGTATTATTTATGTGTAATGATTGATTCGTGAATATTGTCATAGGTATTAATTATTTTATATAGTTATGATTTGATTTTATATTGTGTTATATAATATACAGTTGACCTAATATACAATAGATCTAGTACAGTATTATATTAAAATAGTATTGAAGCCTAAAATAACTTAATTAAAATAAAATAAATAACATTTATGGAATGAATAAATAAATAGTATTACATAATATTAAATACTTTTATTAAGATTCAATACTACTCATTTTTTCTTTGCATTCGATGCTCAATTACATTGAGCACGAGCCATCATAGATATCTTCTGTGCTTTTTGTACTATGTCTGGACAGTGTCTACGTCGTACCAATTTACAATCTTGGAAGAAACCCTCATTCCTGGGGAATCCATGAGATCCATCTGCATAAGTGACTAATCCTTTATTGAGAAAAACAATTGATGAATTTGCCATGTAACCTTATATTTACTCTATGTAACAAATACTTGTAACATTTTATATACCTAGACCCCACACACGGCCTCCACGGAATTCTCCTTCAAACTTCATTCCATCTGATCTCCAAAATACTCCATGGCCATGAAACCAACCCTGCATAAATTCACCTTCGTATCTGATACATAAAAAGCATTAGAATGCTGATAGTATCATACAATTTAAATGATTACTTCAATAACAACATTTACTTTGCCCCGTCTGGGAAAATTATTACTCCTAAACCTGAGCATAATCCATTTTGAAAACCACCATCATAACGTGTTCCATCGGTGAGAAGCAAAGAACCAGCACCGTGTTTTAAACCTTTTCCATTCCAATCTCCAATATATTTTGTACCGTCTTCATACTTGTAAGCACCATTTTTTGCCACACCTGTAAATCAATTCGAACGTGTGCACTTCTAACACTATTTTAAATACACACTTTTCACAATTTGTCAAATACAAAAGAAAAAAACTGAAGATAGGAATTACTGAAAATAAACTCTTACCATCACCCATGCTTCTGGCATACTAAAAGCATTAAAGAGTAGCTTTCAGGTTTCAATCCTATTATAGAAATCAATTCTTTATTCAATTATGTACATCATGTACAATATAGCGAGAATACAACATAGTAAATCTAAGAATTTGATACTGAAATTTAAAAATGAAAGTAGCATAATCAGTGTTTCACTTGTATCTTTTAAAAAAAGTACTATACATATTTGTAAATCATACAACGTTTTATTAGTAATTTAATTTCACTTAGGATAAACAGATTATTAATCTTGAATCCCTCCTGGAGCACCAACCAAAAACCACTGTGTTCTGGCTTTCGCTGCAGCTTTTCGGACTAAACGTTTTCGATCGTCAAGCGATGATGCTAATTTTTCTAGTACATCTTGCTTGTATATATTAAGTAAAATCGTCGGGTAATTACAATAATTTGTTAAACATTCTAGAGCTGCTATCCTGACTCTCTGAAATATATAGCTATATGTAAGTATAACGTAATATATTAGAAAATACCACTTCATTTTATAATATATTACCATTGCCTTATAAGTAGTCAGTTTCAAGAATTTCGGGATAAAACATTGTGCTTTGTCAGAGAAAATAACATGTTTAGCCTCCAGTAAAACTTTTAACGTTATTAACGTCGAATAGATTAACTGTTCATTGTCAAGAGATAAGGATTCTATTAAAAGTGGTACCAACTGAAAAAGAATATTTATTATTAAACTAAAATACAACTTATATAAATGCATCATTAATACCTTTGTTAAATGCATAAATAGAAGTTCCACAGGCACTTCCTCTAATAAGTGTACTAAAGCAGTTAGGTATCTCTGTCTTGACGAGTCTTCAAACTCATGATTGTTTTTAATTAAATGCTCAAATACTCTTTGTTTATAAAAGATTCTGATGGTACAAAAATTTTCTTGTACTAAAGTATCTTCCTGCTTACTTGTTAGAGTTTTATATTCTTGGGCCACTTGTTGACCTACTTGATCATGTTTGAAAAGATTCATAAGCTATACAAACAATATTAATGTAGGATTAAATATTAGATCGAACTTACTTCTAAATATTATGGAAAACTATTTACGTACTTTGTTCAAAAATATTTCAACATCACAGGAACCTTTTGTGATTACAGCTTTCGTTAACCATATTTGTAAAAGAACTGCCGCTTGTTTCACATCGATATTAGTATTTGACTGTAGACTAATATCTATCTTCTCTTTAAAATATAACAACACACGTTGATAGCATTCACTATGATCGTTCATTTTGTTTAGAACAACAGCTATGAATTTACACGTTGTAGATCTTACATTGGAATGAGTGTTGCTCAGAGCTAAATTACATAAATTATCTAACAAATCTGGACCCAATGTGAAATTCACATTCTGCCTTAATGGAATGAAGATATTCATGATTAAAACAGCATCAGTTTCTGAAATGCTCTTGCTTAAAATATCAGAATATTTGTTGACAATGCTTTCTTGCTCTTCGAACGTAAGGCTTCGTACAATTAATCGGCAAATATTTAAAATCAGATCCAATCTCCAATCCACAGGACTCATATTAATAGCGGTTAATTTTTCAATGATACTGCATTCATTATGAAGGTAATGTTGAATATCATAATCAATAGTTTTCGTAGCAACTAGTCTCTGAAGACAAGTCAAAGCTGTAAAGCTTATTTCAGGATTAATAGCATTCATCTGGGATACAATGTATGGAAGTACTTCAATACCTAATTTGTATGTTTTAGCGACAGCTGCTAAAACTTCTAGCTTACGAATTTGTACTTCTATGGCTTCTTCACCTGAAACACGAGAAATATTATGTTTATACATCCCAAAATCAAATTTACTAAGATATAATGTAAGAATCAAATTCACCTTACCAATTTCTAATCTAAACTTTTCTCTTATTACATCTGATATTTCCTCAGGGTATAACGACGCAAAAGCTAGAAAAGTCGCGTGACAAATTGTTCTCATTTCATTACAAGTTGTTTCGATCAGGCTGCAAAGTTTCTCATAAAGGGAATTTCGATGTGTTTTGCTTAAATACAATTTCTGCATTGTTAAACCAACTAGTAGCCATGACTGTAATTCTTTATGCTGTATTGATAGTTCGTTGAGGTATAGTTGTTTTATATCTGTCCAGGATAACTCTGGAACACCTACATCAGAGATACTTTATATTTCGATATTATACTTGGTATGCATGCATTAATGTATAAATACATACTGTTGATATGAAATCCATGTTCAGAACTGATTTTTATGAAGCCATTCAATGTTTCAATTAAAATAACTTTATCTGGTATTGAAGTCTTGACAGAATATTGACCAAGACATAGTGGTACTATCACTTTTAACACATGTACACATGATTCCTTATTAACTGTTGCAACACACTCTAATATTTTAACAGCTGGTCTAAACATACTCAGTTGTACGTCATACAAAGAAGACTTCATATCTGTGATTATACTATCAATGAAACTTTCACAAAGCTTAGTATTACTTGATATAAGTTCAATGATAGCTGTAACTGTTTTAAAACTTGCATTTTTCAGTTCTAAGTCTACACCAGGCATAATGTCTTTTCTCAAAGCAGACCATAATTCTGTTAAATGTGATTCAATGCCTTTTATGCCAAAGGTCTGTATGCCTTTGCATAACAAATTCATAGAGTCTAATTTGGCAACTTTAAGATTTGAAAATAATTTGTCGGTTATAAGCGGTATACAAAATTCAGCGAATTGTGGTATAGCACAGAGACACGGTGCCAATTTCTCTGCCAAATCATCGCGTGTTATTCCTACCTCCTCTGATCCAGACTGAAAAATGTCAAGTCAAATTATAATTCATATTCATAAATGATTGAAGATGTAAAATCTTGATTGGTTGATCTAATTACAGGATTAAAGTCAACTGGAAAATAACATGCAATGACTTCAAACATTTCTTCAGTTAAGTGACCTAATGAAAATTCTTGTATAAACTGTGGAAGTATGCTGAATAATAGCATGAGATTTCTAGGGTCTCTTTCTCCATCAATACAGGTAATAACTCCATAAACAAAGTCTGGTCCCATAGCTTTTAAGTCTTCTATTCTATTCTGTAGTAATGTTGTAAATATTAAATATATGTTGCGACGGTCAGACACTAGCTGAGATTGACATTGAACATTGTCAAAGAAAACTCTGAACAAACGCTCGGGTGAATCCCGAGGCAAATGTTTCATTTGAACCTGAAATAACAATGTAAAATATTTCTGTATCTTTATAAATAATTAATAAATATTTTAAGGCACTTACAATTGCCAATATTCCTTTCAATGCTGACGGTATAATGCTATGATGATCTTTAAGTCTATCACAGTAAAATGATGTTACAAAACTTAATTCATTTTCATTCAAATATTCTTTGGGTAAATGGGATAAAATAGATGAGAGAGCATTAATGCCCTTTTCTCGTGTATTAACATCTTTGTCTGTAATAAAAGGTCCAAGCTCTTCCACAACTGCGTAAAGCTTTGCATGTCCAGATTGTATTTCTAGATAAATGAAAATGATTATAAAATGCCTTGAATTAATATTCATTTACTTAGTAATAAAACAACATTGTTCTGACTTATTCCTTTTTAGTTTAAATTTATAAAAAATTTTTGTGTCAATCTGACGCATGATAAACAAGGTTTTTTCTGTATCCGTCCATAAGTTTTTACTTGCTTAAACACCAAGGTCAACTGAAAATCTACGTGTATGTTCACGGACAATTATGGTAATTAATACACACCTGAGGCGATCTCTTGGCATGTTATATTCAGTGTTTCGTTCTTTTCAAAAGCGTTAAGAAATCTTTCTCTAGAAACAGTGCTTGCGAGTGAAGCCATCGCAAACCATGCCTTCCTGCTGGGTTACTTAACCTCAGCTTAATAATAAAGTATTCTATGCTTCACTCAAATTCTAATAGATTTTTTTCCCTGTAAATCTGTAAATCTAATTCGAAAAAAAAATGGCTAGATACGATTTCAAGGTCACAGACAACATGCGTCAATCAATTATTATGGGTATCAAAAGTCTTAACAGTACAGTTTGTTTTATTTAACTTTAAAATCCATTAGCGTGCATGCGAATTTTTTAGGTTAGGTTACTGATGATTCGATTAGAGCGCCTCTAATGGTACCAATTTGTAATGCAGTGGATAAGATGGACGAAAATGGCATGCGAAGTGTTGTTAAATTTCAGTGAAATGTTTGGTCACTCCAGCCGCCTAGGATGGGAGGCTGCATAGGTTTAACGAGGCCAAGAAACGCCTCCGTTGACGATACCACGGGAAACTCGTCAAGAGTAAATTCAGGTAAACATTTTACCAGAATACAAAACGCAGAAACTTAGATCAACATCAGGCTAACCTTGAAGATACTTGAGCTTTTTCCCTTACCTTCGCACCCAGCGTTTATTGCGTGTTATGACTTGGTATTTGTATATTATTTGTCACACGGTATCACGAATAATCAATCGTCACTGTATATAATGTCGTGACGCTTTGTTATCGACCATGAGTATAAAATTTTGTGTGTAATATCACATTTACCATATCTATTTTATCTTGACAAATATTCGCATTTCATGATTGTTTATCGTTTAATTTGATATTGAAATCCAAATGTATTAAGTTACGAGATTTATGAAATTCCATACAATTTGAGAAATTCAACACATATCTACTTATATTAACAAAATATTTTGTTTACACAGGAAATTCGAGAAAAAATCATCCACTATGCCACGAAGTAATTAGGTGGAAGTCAGATGTACCATTGACAGAAGGTCAGCTTAGAAGTAAAAGAGATGAATTTTGGGATACTGCGCCTGCATTTGATGGTCGCAAAGAGATATGGGACGCGTTAAGAGCTGGGGCAACTGCAGCAGAAGCTCAAGACTATCAATTAGCACAGGCTATATTAGATGGAGCTAATATTTCAGTACCGAATGGCTTTCTAACAGAATGTTACGATGAACTAGGAACCAGATATCAAGTCCCTATTTACTGCTTATCATATCCTATTAATATTGTGAAAGAAGACAGTGGAAGAGATTCTCCTGCTGATTGTTCAGGTAATAGAAAAACTCCAATTAAAAAGATAATTATTTATAGCATTCTATTAATGGTTTATAGAACCTGTCGATAGTGGAGTTGAACAGACATTAAAACTCAGATTGTCAACCACATCTGGTGAAGTAAAATTGCCTGTTTATAGCAAAGATACTATTGCCACTGCTAAAAAGAAATTACAGGTATATATCGAATTTTTTGCAAGATATATATAATACATTAACAAAGCAGCATAAGTGACTTGTTCTTTTTTTCTTAATTGCATTAACAGAGCCAGGAAGGTTTAGAACCATCCCGTCAAAGGTGGTTCTTTGGTGGAAAATTATTAGGGGATAAAATGCATATAGAAGAAGCAAAGATACAACCGGGTTATGTAATACAAGTAATTGTGAATCCTGAAAAGTTGGATGACAGTCCAATGAAAACAAGCTGAACTACTGTATACGTAAGATACAAGTCACATTGAACCAACTTTTCTAATAAGCACTATCTTACACACACATTCAAGTAGGAACACATTTTTTTTTAATTTTATAATGTATCATTGTTAAGAATAGAGCAGCAATTCTTGAAGTGAATTTTTACAATAAAATGCACTTAACTCTCATAATATACGTAAATGTTATAAGGATTAAATATTATTTCGTTTAAATTGTAGGTTGTGATTATTTAATTTTTTTTAATTTATATTAGATCAACAAAATGAAGCATTTCAAAGTGTTAACTATATACGAATGAATTACTAAAGAATACAGGTTAAAAGGTTTTATTAATTTCCTAGTTTAACACGTCTAGTGAATGAAAAAAAAAATATTCGTTTGGATGTAACATTTAATTTACAGCAGAAAAAATAATCATACTCGAATTCTAATATTGTCATATTTATTTGTTACTACCAACGAAGGTACTGGTGCTGTAACTCTTGAAAAACTAAGTATATATGTAGAAAGTTATTCTGTGCTGCTTATTGAACCATGTTGCATAATGATATAATGTAAAAAATAAGTCACACATAAAGAAAATTATAATAATAACAATAAAAATAAGAGAATTACATAAATATTAAATATATAAAAACATCAATGGACAATAGAGAAAAAAAGGAACAAGATATATGCTACTTGTTGTAATGCATTTCTTCTTATCTTTTATGGATTCCATTTTCATTTTTTTTCCTTTTTTTTAATTTAAAATAGACGATTACAATTTTGATTAAGCTCAAATTAATATAAATTCACTAATATCTTGTATTATTTTTTTATAATAATATAAGACAAAATTTGTTGACACTTCGTCTTTGATTTGGTTCTTTCAATTTTTGTAAATGGATTTTGAATATTTGTAAGTCATAAGTTTGGATTATTTAATAGGAGCAAATGTTTGGCCTATCAATGGCCTGAAAATCTACGATTCCTTCCTGTAAGTACTAATAGGATATTGTATAAGGTTTTCAAAGTTGAAGAGTAATGCACAGAAAAGAAAACATAAGACTAACATTGAAACACATGTGGTGCAGAATGTATAATTTTTACACGATTTTATCAGCGCAATTGTTTTCACGTCCGTGTTATTTGTGCTTATAATAAAATATTTAACGCAAGAACGGTACTGCAAGTTCAATTTTAAATAACACTTAATTCTTACTTCTGCTCCATATGTTGCACAACAACAACAAAATTTGTCCAAAGTGTAACTATATAAAAGTGACATATGCGTGTGAATTTATTGACTATACTAACGCGACGGTGATATAGTTTATTTCTTATATGCATTGATCGTATAAAATTATTATTGTAGTATTGAGTGTGAGAGTATGTATAATAAATACATACAAATACGGTACACAGATACGTATATCAATTCCACTATTTTCAATTTGAGTGTCAAACAAGAATATTTAATTTTTATAAATAACTTATTTACAAATTTGGTAATCACATTCAAGACTATAATATAAATGCTTAAAAAAATTTGTTGAAAATATTAATACAATAGTATGAATAATAGTGCAAATAAAAGGAGCACTTCTTTTCTGTCTAGAAATTTTAGGAGCTCCATGTATACACACCATTGTTCTGTCTGTTAAATCACAGTGTTCAAAAATGCTCTTTATTTATATAAAGAAACAGACTTTCGTGTTTGCATCAGCAATATGCAATTAAATCATACTTTAATTAATGAAATATACGATTTTTTTGGTAAAGCAATGACACGTTTTAAAGTATTACTTTACATTTTTTTAATTTCATAAACACAAAGATCGAAGTAGTAATTTTGCATTTATCATGAGACATTTGTTACCAGAATATAATTGAGGTGTAAAATTCTCAATGAAAAACAAATTCTATCAGACTGATATTAGTTTCATTATTTAGTATTTGGGTTACTTGCAATATATAAAAGAGACTGCATTAAGTTCTTTTTTGATTAATGTTCAAACCATATGTAAACATTTTGTGCATAGTATAAATTACAGTATGTGTTTTTTCACACGCGTTTTATGTAAACGTTTTATTATAAATGTTGTGTTTTTTTTTAAGGCATGTAATTCCTATTTGTATGAGTGGTAGAAGAACATTTTCCTTTAATACTCATATTCATATAATATTAAATAAAAAAAATATGTGATGTGGCACTATTGTCATGCAAGAAAATAAGAATGACTGTAAATAAAAAGCATTACAATAATGAAAGTGCAATTCGAAACGCCTAATAAATATTGCTGCTGCTTTGCATTAATGTTGCTATATTGGACCAATGCATATAAGGCGTTTTAAACGAAAATAAAAATCAAAGAATGACTGATTGGAGATTAGGTAGAACAACTGCCAAAAAAAATACAAGCTGAATTCACTGTGTTGCTGATCAGAAATAATTAAAAGATATATAACAAAAAAAAACTTTTTAAACGCTGAGACAAAATATTACTGTAATTAGATAGTAATTATCAATTAAGCAGGGTTTACACATTTTTTAAACTAACTAACATATTACTATTGAACCGTGTAATATTACTTACCAAAGCTGGTTTTTGAAATTAGGTATCAGTACAAATATTACTTGATGTTTGATATTTGTCCAAGCACAAGGAAAAAAGAAAATGATATTAATGGTCGGTTCATTCTGATTTACAGTCTAGAATTAAAATCCAGTCAAATCTGTAAGATGCAATCTTGCAATAGTAAATTATGAAGAAAAAGAGTGAAAATGTTACAAATATAACGCAATTTGTTTACTTCTATTTTAGGATAGGTATTTATTTGTTCTTTATAAAAATGAAATTAAATACACTTACAAAATGATATAAAAATTACTTAAACTTTGATATTTCGATTGTAGGTATATTATTACTTACATATGTGTAAATTAATTTCTATGAATATTGATTATTATAACTTAATGCATTGTCAAATAAAGCATAATGTTGTGAAACTTTTATAAAATTATCCTATCACTTCCTAGTAATGTATTAAACTGATTACACATCACAGCGTTTTATAACCAAATGTTTCTTTGTAGTTTCATTTAACAACATATTTTAAGTATTTTAATTCATGACACAACCAAATCATTGTGCTTAGTACAAGAAGACTACCCGACTGATGAAATGCGGCTAATGCTAAAGGCACGTGAGTTAATAATGTTGTTATTCCCAGTAAAACTTGCAAATAACCAGCGCAAAGAGCCAAAGCAACAGCTTTCTTTGCATTGCCAGGAAGTTTATATCTGCGAGATACAATTCCTATATAAGTTATTAAAGATAACGTAGTAATACCCTGTAAAAAGACATAAATTATAACATCAGAATTATCATTTGAGTAATATACACACGTATATATATATATAAAAAAAAATACCAAAATTCTATGATCAAATTGTAGAGTAGTTGGGTTTTCAGTAAAATTTTTCCATTTAGGTGATATTGCCAGTATATCATCTGGTATCCATTTATTTGCCATTTTCGGAAATGTGTTATAGATAAGACCTGCATCCATTCCTGCCACAAAAGCTCCAGACAAAGCAGTAAGGAACACTAATCCTTTTGTTGAATGAACTACCATTCTAAATCTTTTTAGTTTTTGTTTAATATCAGTTATGTGAGTGTTCAAAGCAATGAAATCCAAGTTCTTAGCAGGAACTAAGTAGCTTAAGGCATTATATAGAAATCCTGTATATATAATAAATGCCATTCCCAAATGTGCGGCCAAACGATACTGCGATACTCGAGGAACATCTGATGGCTCCACAAAACGATCTTCCTCCAAACCAGATTTAACCATGTACCAACCCATAAGTCCTTGTAAACCAATTAATGATCCCAGGACAGTTACTCTGATTTTCATTCCTGGTGTCAGCATTTTTTTTGCCCAAAAATAAGTTGCTGGCACTATAAATACTGCACCTATTAAACGTCCCCACATTCTGTGCAAGTATTCCATCCACCAAATACGTTTAAATTCTCCCAATGTCATATCATGATTAGTTCTAAAATAGAAATTTTCATACAAAATACAGTTTTATGAAATTCATATTGTTACATATTGAAGAAAATGGTACATCTTATATTCAGGAAACTGTTTGTAACGTTCGAATTCATCGTGCCATTGAGTTTCAGTAGTAGGCATTTTTTCACCTAGTAATTTCCAAGTAACCATTGATAAGCCAGATTCTGTAAGCCTTGTTACACCTCCTAAGATTATTGAAAGGAAAAATAAACTATTGAGAAATTCTTAATCATATTTTATTTATTTTCTGTATTCTTTGTGATAACTTAAATATATGCTTAACATGAAAGCTTAAAACATAAATTGTACAAGTCTTAAAATTTACTTTCCATAAGTTTTGTCCACAATAAGTTTTACAACATCGCGTATTTGATAATAAAAGAATAAGTAACCAATTATACCTAGAACAACAGCTACAAAAACCATCCCACTGCAAGTCAACATCCATTTTCCTACAGTTTTGTCTGAGTTTTGGGTTGATTTTGAAGCAAACCTGACAGCCAGAACATTTCCTTGTTTAAGTAAATTCTGTAAACAACATATACAAGTTAATCTTAACTTAAATTATGAATATGTGAATAGTATGTTATTTTAAACTTAATAAATAATACCCTTTGAATACAAACATCGTTCCTTTTCATTAGTAACAATGCTTTATCCCTAATTGTTGGTTTAGAAGCATAAGTGTATAAACTATGCCGAAATGATAGAGATTTCAGTGCATTATTTTTCCCAATTGCTAAAGTACAAAATTTTGTTATATTGAACATGCTAAAAAATAAAATAGATAAGAAGTTATAATAATTATACGTTAAATTAAAAACATACAATGCTACAATGTATGCACACTTACATTATGGCAATATATTGATAGTTACAATGATAATATTTTATCTCTCTCCTCAATAATAAAACATACACAAACGATTGTATTTACTTTACATATTTTCAGAATAAAGATAACTCTTACACACGAAGAGTATCACAAAATAAATAGAAGAACTACAAGAATTACATAAGAAATTTCATTATTCTTTTGTCGCCGATTATGATTACATACACATTATGATTGAATACATAATAAAAATTATATATTAAACCATTGCCATGATAAAATTTTTGATTGCTTGAAAAATAAATATCATTGAATTATAAATATGAATCATTTGTTGATAAATAGAATTTATTGGAAAATATTCATGAGCTCAGTTTACTGAATATTTACAAAGAGAGTTTTTTCTAACCTCGAGTAAAATTATATTGAAACGTGTCGAAAAGAAAGTAGGAGTATCAGTGTATAGTGCTTGATTTTTATCTCTGATAAATAGAATTTAATTCTCCAATGTTTCCGTAAAGTAATTGATAAGATATTTCAATACCGACGAGGCAAAAAATGGCACAATTGTGAGTGCTTCGAGCAAGAGGTTGACATTTTCCGCGCGCAATTACATTCGTTTATAAGCGTGCAATAAATACCCATTTTGTTTTGGATTGCAAGGAAATAACAAATACGACTTAGGAAAAGGTAAATATTATATAAATCAAGAGTAATATGATTCTCAAATATCAAATTCAATAGTTTTATTTTTTTTTTCAGTATAATTACAAGTTACTAAGGAACTTACTATCACAAAGATATTAAAATGGCACAAAAAAGTGGTTTAACGAAATTAATTAAACTTCGTGAATTGATGGAAGCTGTTCCAATTGGTGGTATTAAAGGGAGAGGAATTCAGGCTCTGATTATAAATTCAGATGATGCTCATCAGTCTGAATATTTGAGAGAAAGAGATAAGAGGGTACAGTTCATCAGTGGCTTCACTGGGTCTTTCGGTGTTGCGATTGTTACTCCAAACAAAGCTTTGTTGTGGACAGATGGAAGGTATTATATGCAAGCTTTGGCAGAGTTCGATCCACCAGAAATGTGGACGCTTATGAAGGAAGGTTTATTAGATACTCCAACAAGAGCTGCATGGTTGGTTTCCAACTTACCACCTAAATCTACTGTTGGGGCAGATGCGAATTTAATGAGTTACACAGAATGGGCTGTCTTACATACTAGTTTAACTGCTGCTGGTCATTGTCTGTTGCCACTCGAGGAAAATTTAATTGACAAAGTTTGGGGTATTGAACAGCCTGATGCCAGAGGTAATACTGTTCTACCACAACCTTTACAATTTTCAGGGCGCACTGTAGGAGAAAAAGTCAGATTATGCAGAGAAGAAATGAATAAGAATAAAGCAAAAGTGCTTGTGATCACAGCTTTGGATGAGGTAGCATATATTTTGAATCTAAGAGGATCTGATATACCTTACAACCCTGTTTTTTTTGCTTATGTGATTCTTACATCAAGTGATTTGCATCTTTTCATTGATAAAAGCAACCTCAGCGAAGAAGCTAAGCACCAGTTGATAGACGAAGGGTTGAATGTAATTTATCATGCATATAATGAGATTCATGCATTTTTAAAGCAAATTGCAAATTCATGTACAACTAATGAAAAAATATGGATAAGCAATGGTTCAAGCTATGCATTACATGCTGATTGTGGGGAAATAAAGAAACATACTGCTATTACACCAATAAATATTATGAAGGCTATAAAAAATGACGTTGAGGTACAAGGAATGAAAAACGCACATATTCGCGATGCTGTTGCACTCGTAAAATACTTTGCTTGGTTGGAAGATCAAATTAAAAACAAGAAAGAAACCGTTACAGAAGTATCTGGAGCAACACAGCTTGAGAAATTTAGACAGTAAGGGGATTTGTATAAAAAATATCAAAATTTTAAATATGCAATGAAAATTATTTACTATGTATGTTATCTAAAAGGGAGCAGGAACATTTCGTTGGGCTCAGTTTTCCAACAATATCTTCGGTTGGACCTCATGGAGCAATAATCCATTATCTACCAACTGCAAAAACAGATGTGCCGATTACAGACAAGGAATTATATCTTTGCGATTCTGGTGCACAATTCCAGGATGGTACTACAGATGTCACGAGAACGTTACACTTTGGTAATCCCGAAAAATTTGAACGTGAATGCTTTACGAGGGTGTTTAAAGGACAATGCCGCCTTTCAACAACTGTCTTCCCTCTAATGATACAAGGGAATTATCTTGACACGCTTGCCCGCGAGAATTTATGGAGTGTTGGGTACATGCATTTCTTATTTATAAAATGAAAAAAATATTATTTATTCATGTATTAAATATACAATTACAGTCTTAATTATCTTCATGGTACTGGACATGGAGTGGGGTCATATTTAAATGTTCATGAAGGACCTGTTGCAATTTCTTGGAGGCCATATCCTGATGACCCAGGCTTACAACCTGGCATGTTTCTCTCAAATGGTATGAATTAAAAGTATTATCTCATTTATTGAATTAATATTCTATTAATATTAAATACAACTGGTAATATTATTAGAACCAGGATATTATGAGGACAACAAATTTGGCATTAGACTTGAAAATATAGAATTGGTGGTAAAGGCAAATACCCCATACAATCACAAAAATCGTGGTTTCCTTACTTTTGAGACTGTTACATTGGTGCCTATACAGACAAAGTTACTTGATGTTTCCTTATTAACGGATGACGAGGTAAAAATTACAATTTTTTAGATTAATTACCTTAATAATATGTTTCAATTCGTTTTAGATCAAATACTTGAATGATTACCATACAAAATGCCGGGATACCCTGGCACCTTTGCTGCAAGGACCAGAAAATGCGCAAGCACTTGAATGGCTCCAAAGAGAAACTCAACCGATTTCAAAATAATAATTGCTTATTTGTTGAAAAACAAGTTTCATAATAAACTATTTCTATAATTAATTCTTTTTCATTTAACGCTACCTTTAATATAGTTTAAACAAATATTTGCCAAAAATATTTATCGAACTCCTCAGACCCCAATGAGAAACCCCTCGAACCCCCGCGAGAAAC